TCTGAGAGTTCGAACTAGCTCAAGGACTGAAGCTGTTTTATTTTGTTCTTTGTGTTTCATCCAAAAACTATTTTACAGCTTATACACTTAGGGAGTAAGTGTAGGTTTTTACAAGTCCACAGGACGTGGCCGGAGAATTAGTTGATAGGATCTGTGTAGTGTTGGCTAGGCTTGAAGGGAGTTCGAGTCGTTGTAAGTCCAAGCTATGTGTATGTTTGATCTATCAATGAAAGAGCTCTGAGGGGAAGTGGAACGCTTCCCTGAAGAGTTTTAAAATCTTCGGTTTATTGCTTCCGCATTTTTTAGTTCATACCATCGATAAGCGCACTCCGTAGGAATTATTCAGATTCTATAGCAATGCTTGCCAAGGCACCTCAATTTCAAAACAGATATACCAAACCACAGTTCTCCAAAGATAAACCAAAACAAAAATGTTCCCACTGTGGCTATACCAACCACTCTGTTGAAAATTGTTACCAACTGATTGGTTATCCTGCTCATTGGAAAGGTCCAAAAGGGCCTAGAAAACATCATGAACATGTGTCTGTTAACTCTGTTATCACTTATTCAGTTCCTTCTGATATCTCCAATACTGACAATTTGTTCAATGAGTTTTTTGAGTTCAAAAAGTCCTATGCTAGCAAACAGGGGCCTGGAATTCTCAATCCTGCTCCTATGGTTGCTACTGCTCATGTGATCCCTGACCAGTCAGGTACATTAGCTAACTATATTTCTACTAACAAATCTGTTTGGATTCTTGATATTGGTGCATCTGATCATATGATATGTGATATTTCATTGTTTACATCTCCACCGACTCTTGTTTCCATACCTGTTAATCTTCCTACTTGACAAAAAGCTTGTGCATGCTATGTGGGACAGATTAATCTGGGACCTAATCTTGTGCTGCACAATGCTCTATTTGTTCCTTCATTTACCTTCAACCTTATATCTATTTCTAAACTAACATCCACTAATAACTGTGTGGTCAATTTTTGCTCTTCTCACTGTGTATTGCAGAACACAACATCCAACAGGATGATTGGTTCTGCTAAAGCTAGCAATGGCTTATATTTTCTGAATTTGCCTATTTCTGATTCTATAGCTTCTTGTAATAGCAGTACTTCTATTGATGTATCTTCTTCTGAATTGTGGTATCACAGACTTGGTCATTTGTCATATCATAAGCTGAATACTTTACCTTTTACAAACAATACTTGTAAACATCTTGTTTCTACACCTTGTGATGTATGCCATTTCTCCAGGCAGAAGAAATTACCCTTTCAAATAAGTAATTCTACTGCATCTTGCATTTTTGAGCTTATTCACTGTGACATTTGAGGTCCTTTCTCTATTGCATCACATCCAGGTTTTAAATATTTTCTCACTATAGTAGATGATTATAGCAGATCTACATGGATTTATCCTTTACACTCTAAAGCTGACACAAAAAGTCATCTACTACATTTTCATAATCTTGTCAAAACTCAATTCCATGCATCCATCAAAACCATTAGAACAGACAATGGTATAGAATTTTTCATGCATGATTTCTTTCATTCATTGGGTATTCAACATCAAACCTCTTGTGTTGAAACTCCCCAACAAAATGGCAGGGTTGAGAGAAAGCGTCAACATCTTTTAAATGTTGCTAGAGCCTTACTTTTTCATGCTCATTTACCTCTTGAATTTTGGATTGACTGCATATTAGCTGCTGCTCACATCATCAACAGAATCCCATCCATTACTTTACAAAACAAATCTCCATTTGAACTTTTATACAACAAAACTCCAACCTATGATCACTTAAGGGTCATTGGTTGTTTGTGATATGCATCTACCATTTCTGCCCACAGAACAAAGTTTGACACAAGAGCATCTAAGTGCATTCTTCTTGGTTATCCCCTTGGTTGTAAAGGATATAGACTTTACAACCTGAAAACCAAGAAAATATTGATTTCCAGGAATGTGTCATTTTATGAATCTGTATTTCCTTTTAAAATAAACTCTTTCCCAGTTCAAAATGACTCTCTTTTTCCCATCCAGATACCTTTCCTTATGATTCTCCTCTCCTTGCAGAAAACAATTCTTCTACCTCAGACAACACCACTATTCATAACACTCTCTCACCATCTATTCATACCTCAGACAACATCACAGTTATGCCCCAAAATATCTTTCCATCACATTCTTCACCACCTCCTCAAACCAGAAAATGTACCAGAATCAGAAAACCACCTTCCTATCTCAACATATACAATACCAATTTACAAGATAAGTCAACTCCTCCTCCAGCATCCTCTTCAAACTTCATCTCATCACAGATTGACACACCTGGAACATCACCTTATCCTATATCATCATATCTTTCCACTAAAAGGCTTAATTCTAATCATAAATGCTTTACTGCATCCATTTCTACTAATACTGAACCCAAATCTTATAAACAAGCTTCAACTGACTTATTATGGGTTGATGCTATGAACAAAGAAATTGAAGCTCTTGAGAAAACAAAAACTTGGGTTCTAACTGATCTTCCTCCTAACAAAAATTGTATTGGTTGCAAATGGGTGTTTAGAATCAAGTACAATTCTGATGGCTCAATAAGCAGGTACAAGGCCAGACTTGTAGCCAAAGGCTACACTCAAGAAGAAGGTTTGGATTATTTTGACACTTTTTCTCCAGTTGCTAAAATTACTACTGTTAGGACTTTACTTGCTATTGCTGCCATTAAAAATTGGAATTTACATCAACTTGATGTTAACAATGCCTTTTTGCATGGTGAGTTGGATGAGGAAATTTACATGCATCCTCCCCCTGGTTACAAAACTAAAAATCCTTCACAAGTTTGCAAACTAACAAAAAGCCTTTATGGCTTAAAGCAAGCCTCTAGGCAGTGGTTTCATAAACTTACAAATTGTCTATTGCATTTTGGGTACACTCAGTCTTCTACTGATTGTTCTTTATTTATCAAATCTGACAATGATTCCTTTACTGCTTTATTAGTCTATGTGGATGATATTATCCTTGCAGGTAATGATATGTCTGAGATATCCAAGGTAAAATCTCATCTAGACACTTGTTTTACCATCAAGGATCTAGGTCCTTTAAAATACATCCTAGGCATAGAAGTTGCTCAATCTGAAAAAGGAATCAAGATTTGTCAAAGAAAATATGCTCTAGACATTTTACAGAATACTGGCTTTTTGAATTCTAAACCTGCCAATTCTCCTATGGACTCCGATTTAAAACTTACAGTTGCTTGTTCATCTAATTCTGAACTCATTAATGCTACCTCATATAGAAAATTAATTGGGAGATTACTTTATTTAACTATAACAAGACCAGACTTGTCTTTTAGTAATCAGGCACTCAGCCAATTCATGAGTAAACCTACTCAGCAACACTTGACTGCAGCCCACAGGGTTTTAAGGTACACCAAAAACACTGCAGACCAAGGTATATTCTATCCCAGGCATTCTTCTTTAAACTTAAGAGGATTCTCTTATAGTGATTGGGCTGGCTGCATTGATACTAGAAAGAGCATAACTGGTTATGTTTTCTTCATTGGCTCTTCCTTAATTTCTTGGAAATCTAAAAAGCAAGCAACTGTGAGTAGATCTTCAGCTGAGGCTGAATATAGGGCCTTAGCCACTGCCACATGTGAGGCTCAATGGTTACTTTACCTTTTGCATGATTTACACATTGTTCACACTGTTCCTGTTGCATTGTTTTCAGATAGTAAGTCAGCTATTGCTATTGCTAAAAACCCTATTCAGCATGAAAGGACAAAACATATTGAAATAGACTGTCATTTGATTAGAGAAAAACTTGCCAATGGTGTTATCACCCTACATCACATTCCTTCTCACAATCAACTTGCAGATCTGCTAACTAAACCCTTGGGAGTTCAACTTTTCAAGGAAAATTTGTCCAAGATGAACATGTTAAATATACATGTTCCTCTTGCGGGGGGGTATTAGATTATATGTATTAGGTTTACCTGTATTCCTGTTACAAATAGATTACTTGTATTAGGTTTACTTGTATGTTATAGATTATATGTATTAGGTTTACTTGTACTTTATGTATTGTTTATTGTACCCCTTTTATGAAAGGATTAGTCAACCCATATATAAGGGCACTAACCCTAATTTGTACTCTAACTTTTCATTCTTCTCGGTTAATAGAAATCAGGCAGCATTCTTTCATCTCTCTTCTCTTTCTCTCTCTATATTTGCAGATTCTTTGATAGTTTACAGTTCGACCATTGAATCTTCAAAATTTAGAATTCCATAAAAAAAATCCACAAATCAGACAATCAGTCATATCATAAATCACACATCATTTTGAGAAATAGGTTAAACCATCACTACCGGTAGAAGCTGCTTTGCCGATGTTTCCGTTGTCGTTGGCGCTTGGAGTCACTACCGCTGCTGGCCCGCTCGTCGCTCGTGGGTCGCCACTCCAAGGTCTGGCCGCTCGAATCCGCCACTTCCTTGCTGTCGCTCGCCGTCGTCGCTGCAATGTCGCCTCACGCCGGTCGGTCTGCAGTGGTCTAGAGGATTGCCGGCTGCCGCATGGGAAAATGAGAGGTGAGGTTAGGGTTAGCAAAGGGAAAAACTGAAAAAGGTCCCTCTGTTTTGATGTAAAAAAGAGCTTTAGAAAAAACAATAGAAAAGCACAAATCCAAATCACAAAAACCAAATCTCAGTATATTTTTCCAAGAATAACACCAAAGAGTCAATAACAATAGAAACAACTAATCTAGTAGTTTTGCTTTCAAGGGATTTTAATTGATCATCTTTCTCCTAAATAAATAAAAGATTCAAAATATTTAGATCTCTAAAATTGTTGGAAGTCACAATTTTGCTGATGAGCGATGATTGATTTAAAGCAGATGAAATAGTAAGAAAGAAAAAAAAAAAAGGATTGAATCTGAATATAAAAAACAAAGATCGAAAATGCCATATATAATTTATAAAATCGATTAACTTTATCGTTGGAATTTTGGAATGAGAGTCGAGAGAGATATGCTGATGTTGGCCTGGGAATACTAGTAATAATGGAAAAATATGTACAAAAGATCCAAAACGTCATTTATTTGGTTTATGATATATAAAGCCAAAATGACATTTAAAAATGATAGGAGGTAATATAATTTAACTATTCAAGTAATACATTTTAAGTTTTTGTTTGATGATTAATAAATGAATGAGTATTTACAAACAAGTTTGACCGAACTTTTATTCGCGAGTATTCGATCCATTTACAAATCGGCGAATAAAATTGACATTTCTTCTATTGTCAATCAATTTCACATTAAACCATATTTATCTATGTACCTTAACTGCTAATCAACATTTTATCTAAGATTGAACTTGAATATTGTTATATTTTTTAATAAGTGGCGTACTCCTCCTGTTTGAACCGGGGTTTGAAACCAAACCTATCCTCATTACATCACTACAAAAATTCTATGGAGTCATCTATGACTTAGTGTATAGACACTTTGTTCCAAGTGTATTTATTATAGGACACTTGTCAATACACTATTTGTGAATAACTGTGGATGACTCCATAAGCCGAATTATCCGATGGCTCCATAGCAAAACTATACATCACTATTCCTTCTCTCCATTCAAATCTATACTCTCCCCTTTCTTCTTTGACCGAACATATCGTTTTAGATATAGAATGTTGACTCCACGAGCTAACTGTTACTGTACCCTCAATATCCAATTACAATTTACATTACACCTTAAATCGAGAAATGACAATCTCCAAATCTGCAGAATGGGGCTAAATGCCGCGGGATGTTGACTACAATATGTTTATAAATTCAGAGTCCCCATTTTTCACCCGAACTTCCCCGCCATTTTCAAATTTGATACAGAAGAAAAATGAGGATCGCCGAGATTTCCTCCCCCGCAGACCATCACCGGGTCTCCGCCTCCACCGTCGATTCCGACCATGCAACCGCACTCTCGCAAATCGAGTCCACAATCAAATCACTCGAGCGCCACCTACCCGCTCATCCCTTGCCGGGCTCATTCTCCGCAGATCTTCGACGACACCTAGCTCACCTGAGCCAATTCGCTCCTTTCCCCAACTCCACCAAACTTCTCGTCTGGAAACTGAGCTACCGCCTTTGGAACACGTGCGTCGACATCTCCAATGCCTCCGCAGCGAAAATATCCGAGGAACATGGCAGGCTCCGGCAAGTCGCCGCTGATCTGCTATTTCTCACCGCTGATGTGGCTGGGATTCCTTCTCCGGCGTCCAAGGCCGCTCTGTTCTACTACAAAACCGGGCTGATCTGGTATGACCTGAAGAAATTGGATTTAGCTAACAATTGCTTCGAGAAAGCCACCGATCTAGTATCAAATATTGAGATTCACTCGATTTCTGATGACGATGAGAGGAAGTTTCTCTTAGATCTCAACCTGGCCCGGTCTAGAGCTGCCTGGGAAGTTTCGGATTTGAATCTGGCCATTGCACTGTTAAACAGGTCAAAACATGTATTGTTTGGAGTCTCGATGAACTATAACACCTTAGCTAATCAGTACTTGGCGTTCGGAAAGGCTTTACTATCATCAAGTGAGGTTTCCTCTGTGAACGAGGCCTTGAAATTGATGAACGATGCTCTGGAATTATGTGAGAAGGGCCTGAAGGTAGTGAAAAAGACTGACGAGACTTTGAACTTGAAGGAGCTAAGGTTGAAGACCTTGAGATTCATAGCAGCCGCGCACTTGCAGAGCGATGACTTTGAGAGCGTGCTGAAATGTGTGAAGGTTTTGAGGGAGGTTGGGAGTGGTGGGGACCACCACCCGAGCTTGAGCGTGCTTGCGATGAAAGCGTGGTTGGGGTTGGGAAGGTATGGGGAGGCGGAGAAGGAGTTGAGGGGGATGGTTTTGAGCAAAGGGATACCAGAAGGTGTTTGGGTGTCGGCTGTGGAGTCGTATTTCCTCGCAGCAGGCGCAGCAGGGGCAGAGACCGTCAAAGGAGTGTTTCTGGGGCTTTTCGAGCGTTGTCATGTTAGTGCCGGTGCAGCTATTAGGGTGGTCAATAGGGTGATTGGGAATGGGTTGAGCAACGATGAGGGGAAGGTCCGAGCCAATGTGGTTAGTGAATTGGTTTCGGATGAGAGGGTGATAGCGCTTTTCAACAGAGAAGGTGCCGCCAAGGAGAGGACCACTATGCATGCTCTTCTTTGGAACTGGTAAACTTTAGGCAGCTTTTTATTCTTTGAGAACCGAGTCCGTGTGAACATGTCCAGTTCTTAGTGCTTGGTTCCCAGTAGAGATTGACATTACTTTGGCCTAAGGATAAATGAAACCAGAGGTGCGATAAGGAGCTTATCAAGTAACAATCTCAAATTGATTGATGAAAGAGAACTATACATGCTTGTTACTTTTGCATTAGATGTTGGGTTGTCTTTACTAGTTGCTTTTGTGATATTGTGATTCAGATCTTTACTAGACGCTTTTGTGATATCGTGATTTCTACTGATGCATGGAATAGCCACTAGGATTTAAGTTGAAAGGGGAATGGTTATTGTATGAGTAAATCCTTTAACTTGCAATTGAACTTATTATGCAACTTTGAGATCTGATATGAATATTGACTGTGAAACTGAAAATGCATCTTCCATTTTCAGTTGATTGCAGCTGCTTAATTTATTTTGCTCTTTCTTGTTTTCAAATGCGCATTCTCTCTGGCAGCACTTTGACCCCTGTCATCACATTATTATACTTTTCATGGGAGGCTAGAGACCGCCAGTCGTGCAATAATTGCTGTTGAACTTATCGTTTTGTCTTTAATTTTGCAGCGCCACAGAATATTTTCGAGAAAAAGATTACCTGCTAAGTGCTGAGATGTTTGAAAAATCTATGTTATATGTACCTCATGGAGTAGAGAATAGAATCCTCAGATCTAAGGGATATCGAGTTCTTTGCCTCTGCTACCTAGGCTTGTTGCAGCTCGACAGAGCTGAAGAATATATCAATGAGGCTGAAAAGGTATGCAAATAATACACAAAAGGTCTAATTTCTCCATAAAATCAACTCCAGAGATACTAAATGATCTTGATATTCTGATGCTATTTTATCTCTACAGTTGGAACCCAACATAGCCAGTGCCTTCCTCAAGGTATAATCAATCATATTTGCCACCAAAACTCTTGACCTCAATATTCAAATGACCTTCTAAGTTAAATGTCCTGTTGACTTTATCATTTGGAAACTGTTTGCAGTTTAAGATCTTCTTGCAAAAGAAGGACTATAATAGTGCTATTGCTCAGATGAAAGCAATGCCAAGCTGTCTTGATTTCACCATGGATTTCATTTCCCTCTCGGCCCATGAAGCTCTCGCATGCTCTTGTCTTCCAGTTGCAGTTGCCTCTCTTTCCCAACTCTTGAATTTCTATTCTTCTGGGAAACCTATGCCAACTAGTGAGGCTGTAATATTTCGCACATTAGTCTCCATTCTGAGCCAAGACCCGGCAAACGACGCCGATGTTCTCGAACACATGAAACGAGCTCACGCGCGACAAGCCGAGGTTGGAACTGACCTCTTTTTCGGGAAATGTGAGGTTGGGAGAAGGGAAAAGAATTGGTTCGCAGGGAATTCTTGGAATTTCGGAGTAAGAACTGGGCAGGCGAAAAACTACGCATTATCCGCTGAGTTCTTCAAATTAGCATCGGACTTTTATGGAGTTCTAGGCAACGGGGAAAGCGAGGAGAACGATACAATGATCTGCAAATCAATCATACTCTCTGTATCTGCACTTATTGCTGATGAGAAGCATGTGAATGGTACATTGCTTGAACCTGAAGTTACACAAGCCATGGAGCTGTTAGGGACAGCAGGAAAGGTAACCAACTATAAGATCCCGCCAAGTTTATTTTGGGTTTATTTGTTAATGGGGGTGAACATTTTTAATTATTTTTCCTTGTTATCAGTTTAAAAGTTGCATTTAAGAACAATTTCCATGATTCAGATGCTGTTTTCAAGTGCCGGAAAAAATGATGAACTGGCCGAGGCCGTTGAGCCTAACTTCCACTTCATATACATGTGTACCGCCTTCGACCTCTACTCCAGGCTAAGTGACACGGCTTCCCAACAGCTCCAGCTTGTGAAAAGATTTGCTGCCTCAAAATCTTGCAGACCAAGACATTTGCTTCAGATTGGGCTAGATGCCTCGCGGGGCCCACGGCCGAACCATGAAGTAGCTTCCTTTGCCCTGAATGCCTGCCTCACATCCTTTCTTGCTTCCCCTTCTCCCGATTACCAAATGGTGGCTCTTGCACTCAGGAAGCTGATTCTTACAGTAACCGTCCACAAGGGAGGCCCGGACGATGACTCAATCACTGATATGTACAGGCACGCGTACCGAATCATGGTCGGGCTCAAGGAGGGAGAGTACCCAATTGAGGAGGCCAAGTGGTTAGCCACGTCAGCATGGAATCGTGCGGCAGTCCCTGTGAAGATGGGAAAAATAGAGACTGCGAAGAAGTGGATGAGCATTGGTTTGGAGTTGGCTGTAAAAGTCCCCGGGATGAATACGTACAGGTCGTGCATGGAGGACTATGTGGCGGGGTTCGAGAGGAAAATCAGCAGCAGGGGCAGTGGTGAAAGCAGGACTTTGGCTGTGTCTTGATGGTGGACTGAAGAAGAAGATAAGGGGATTAATTTTACATATCTCAAAGTTTTGTGTGTGTGTGTGTGTGTGTGTGTGTGTGTGTGTGTGT